CTCCTCCTCCTCTTCCTCCTCCTGCTGCTGCTATTACTACTACCACCACGATTACCACCACCACTCTATCACAACTACCACTACTACCACAATCCCACTACTAACACCACCACCACCACCACCACCACCACCTACTACTACGACGACGACTGGTAGCGCTAGTGCTGCTACTGCAGAAAGAAATTATCAGAAAAGGAGTGCAACATCATGACCGTCGCCGTGCACAAAGCATGACAAGCCAAACCTAGGTCTGTCTCAGAACAGTCTGCTGAGGAGGAGATGAAGAAATCCATTGGTGTCCTTGAAAGCGGCTCCAGAGCGTCGTGCCATACCAAGAGAATGCCGGGGTTGAGAGCAACATGACGGTCCACGTCCAAAGGGCTAGTCTTTGTAAGTGCGATTGCCCTTGCCGCGAACCAGAAGAGCAAATCAAGGACCAGACCTTGCTAGAACGGGGACATAACGGTATAACCAAACATGTGTCAAACTCTTGTCAATTCCGTGCAGCTTGTCGCATCGGAGCCCAGCGCCCAGTGACGGATGCATTTGGGGCGACAAGATCCCACGAGAACACAGGCAGATCTCCAGGAGCAGCCTGTCAGATGATGCGTCCAAAGCATCACCTTCCGCAATCCGATTGTTCCGCCGGTCTGAGCAGAGTTGGGCCAGAAATATGGAAGCAACTGCACCAGATGCAGCAAGGTCTGCGCTCAATGGCACTCGACCCTCTGCGAACAAACACCGTGACACTGTCGATACGTCCCTGGAACCCTGTTGTCAAACGCTAGACCTTATGTAAAACCTAAACCAGCACTGAACTTAACTCTAGCCAAGAGATTGCATCCCTGCTGCCGTCAGGTGCTTTTGGTTATCGAGTGAAACCAGTGAGCAGATTGCCACTGATGGGGCCTTTTGATGCCCAGATAAACACCATGCTCCTGTTGTTTGCCACACTGGGCCTACACGAAAGCATATCGAGTGCCCAAACGCACAAAGCTTGCTGCACTACAGTCGTACCACGCTGACAAGACGAAATTCAGCGACTTAGCCCCATGGAGGTTTTGGAGGTTATCATGCACATCAGCTCATAGGTAGTGCTCACTCATGCGGACCACATGAGGCATGGTAATCATGCTAGCCCGCGAAGTGATAGGAAGTGGCGGAAATACATACAGGTCACGTGAATCATGCTATGTGTTCACAACTGTCCGCATGTTTCAAGCAAACAAATGAACCGTGCTGATCTGATTAGACATGGCAATCCTTTTCATTACGTACATGAATCAACACGTCTGCCTCACCTGTCAGTAAGCTCATAGTTATCTGCAGCCCTTCCCAGCTTGAAACGCAGCCCCGTTGTGCAATCTGTCACTTCCTGGAGCCGAACTTCTACTGCAGGCTCCAGAGATGACGGAGCTTCACAGGAAGAAGGTCAGATGTCTACGCACCTTCCGTGGCGATCGTATTTTTGATCACCCGATATTTCATCGAGCTCAGCCAACCGCTTGCCGAGATGGAGCGTGTCAGAAACATGTTTATCCGCTAGTTTCGAATGCAGTGTCCAAACCTTCTTTCTGGTATCTTACCAATGGACTGGGCAAACGCTGCAACACTGGAAGCCCTTGCATCGGCAAGCCAAGGGCTGTGCAAAGTGCAAGCAGCGTCTAGGTCGCAACAGATCGCCGCAGAAAACCGTTGCCAAAGGCAGGTAATGTACACGGCTGCAGCCTGCCAACATGCAGTGGACGGGAACTCAGTTCCACTATTCCATCTGCTGCCAGGAACCGTTGCACGGTATCGTCCTCGACTCGACCCAGTTAATCTTCACTGGAGTAAGGATCGAACTGGTACAAGCTGATACAGAGTGCTCCCAGGGACTGCATGCAGCTGCAAGACTGAAACTTTTTGAGATCGCCATTGTGAACGCTTCGAGTACCATCGCTACCTAGGGCCTAGGGACGCAGATGCATAGATTATAAAGCTTTGCCGGTGAAGCCAGCTGGAAACCAAGACAAAAGCAGACAACACCGTTTTGGACATATGTAGACAAGGTGGGGACGGACAAGTGTACGGGTGAAGGCATGTTGGTGCTTGGTGCATCGGAGAACACTCCTGCCCCCCTTAGGAGTCAACTCGGCCACGATGCTCCGATGCAATAAACGGCCCTTGGTGGCTGTCTGAAGGGGGCGCCACGGAGCTTAGGCTTCTGAAGCACTTGCCACAACCAGATGCAGAAGTGGCAGGTTCCAACAGCGCGCAGTGTAAGCACTTCATGCAAGACTTCCATGAGCTAGGACTTGCTTCCCACCATGCCCTCCGACAGGACATCACCATGATTACATTCACGCATCTCCCGTGCAACAAGCTCTCTGCGGCATTGACCATTCCATCTTCCTTGTCTGTGTTCCTACATCATGCCTGGCTGTGCACGACGGCATGTTGCACGGGGGAGCCTGCTCCGACAAGAGCATGCGAAACCAACGTGTCACAGAGCTGCCCTCCCACTGTCGGGAGTACGCCCGAGGGAGGCGAGAACCTTTGCCTCTTAGACCCTACCATATCCTACCATTACTCCTCCGGCCTAATGCTGGCAATTGTCCAGCTGGCCCACTAGACATTATGAAGAAGCCTCTGTGCCAGGTGGATGTGGCCAGTCAACTAGACCTGATTTCTGCTGCCCAGCCATGGAATTAGCTGCTTGGCCAACCTTGGAAGTCTCTGCAAATCATCTAGCGAAAGACAGCAACGAAGCCTTCCAAAAGGGCGAAGATATGGCTGGGAAGCTGGAAGTCTACAGCGGCAAAAGTAGCTGCCGATCACGCTCAATGGCGGACAGCTCTCACAGTCGACACTGGCATCGTCGTGGCAGGCCTGTCAGCTCTTCAGAAGCGTCTGTGTGCGGTTGAGCCTCAACTGTGACAGGAGTCGCGTGGGCTGTTCTGGGGTCACAGAACAGTGGACGAATGCACTGCGCCTGCTGATCTGCGTGAAGCTATGGAATGCCACTGCCTCGTCGAAGCGAGCACACAACAGACAAGGCTTCCTTCTTCTCACAGCGAGAAACACCAAGCAACGCATGTGCACCAGCAAGCCAGGTGTACCATCTGCAGCCGCAAATTTGGAAGTGACCTAAGGACCAGACAGGAGCGCGATAACCTTGAGCACCCGAAGCTCCGTGAGGTGCAGCGTGAACGTGTCCTTCCAGTGGCTGGAAAGCTGCTGCTTACAGCACTTCCACCCCTCCACGCCTGGTGGTAGAACCTGACTGCGCACGGGAGCCTTGGGCTTGCAAAATCTGGGTATTCCGAGACTTGTACCACTAACTGAACCAACTACGACGACGACTACTCCTACTACTGGAAGCACCAATGCTGCAACAACAGCAACAACGACGACGACGACTGCGACTGCGAATGTGGCTGCGACTACGACTACGACTGCGACGACGACGACGACGACGACGACGACGACGACGACTGCGACTGCGACTGCGAATGTGGCTGCGACTACGACGACGACGACGACGATGATGGCAACGACGACTACTATGATTACTCCAACACCACTTCTACTCCTAATACTACTCTCACCTTCAGATGATGCTGCTCCGGCCACGACTAGCTCTCCTACTGCTGTTGCTGCTGCTGCCTGCTTCTGCGGCTCCGCTGCTGCAGCGGCTAATACTATTGCTGGTGCTCCAACTACTCCCTACGAAGAAGGCCAAGTATTGTTTTTGGAGAGCAGGTCGGTCGCTGCAGGTGAAACTCCTAGTGGCACGAGTACTTCTCGCGTGCTGAGAACCATGACTATGCTGGTGTGAGAAATCCGCAAGCACATGATGTCGTCTTTGCTGTCTCATAGGTGTTCCTACTCAACTGACCACGTAAACAGTTGAAGCAACTATGACCATGATCGTCTCAGAAGTACCGATTGCATTCAGCATGTCTACTTCAATCGCTGCTTCAACTGCTGCACACGACCCTCATTGAGGTGGGGATACAAGCAGATTCCACCCTGGAGGGCCACCAAAAGCAGCGGTTCTGCTGTGACAAGCATCGCGTGACAGTACAAAGCTAGGGATGAGACAGTCAATTATGCTAGAGTCATGGAGCTGTGTATGGATACCTGGCTCTTAGATGGCAGGAGATCACGAAGGGAATGGGGGACAGAACGATGGATTTCATCTTCGTGGATCAGTCGCCAATACGCACGCAGCCTCACAGTCCCACTCTCATGACCCAAGGGGGGTTGAGGCTTAGGGGGTGTTTAGGATTTCAAGGCGCCAAGTCCGACACCCACAGCTCTCGATCCTGGAAGCTCCAAAACCGGTAAACCCTCTTTCACTTCCAAGTTCGAAGCAGGGTTTGGCCGCAGCACTGCAGCCGATGTTGGTGCGATCGGCGCCTCAGCATCAAGAAAAATAACCTCTGCGGCTTGAGGGTTTAGGATGTGGGAGAAGTGCCATGCCGCGGTCTAGGGCCTGGGGTTTGGAGTCGAGTCGTCATCATCAGCAGATGTCTCATTGAGCAAGCACAGACAGGAGGCGCTACTGTGATTTCTCTGTGCTGCTTCGTTTGCATCAAGCATGTTAGCTAAAGTAGAACGGGTGAAATTCGATGGCTGCATGAGGGCCTCCCACCCTCTTGCGACTCACATGTCGCAGCCATGTGGGCACACTCTGACGTCTGAGGTCCGCCACAATCGCTGGTCGAGTCTGGTACCTCTCGCCGTGCAGAAGCATGGAGCAATGTCAACCTAACCATCTTAATTACATTTGTGACCATAAACAAAACATGGTGATGGAAGAATGTGTCTTCCTTTGGAAGACCAAACGGAGAATGCCAACGATAAGGGCAACTGAACACCGTAATTCAAACCTCAATTCATCGTGACGGGATCTTGAAGGCTCAGCCATGATAAGGCGCACGTGACCACCGTTCGGGCACTACCGACCAGATGCTCCTCACCGCCTGCACCTGGCATTCGGGTTCGAAGGCGACCCCCAAACGGAATGTTCCTAAGAACATACCTTAAGCGACTGGGGTTTTCCTTCGCCATATCGACATCAACTGGGATGTCAGTTCCATACTTACACCGCCAGTAACCCATTGCCAGGTGAAGAAAACCCCCATGATTCCCACGGCGTCCTGGAGCGTCTGGATCTTTTGACTGCGACAGGCTCCTGCGACACTCTGTGCACGACATGCTGACAGTTGCGGCTAAGCTGTTGTCTGCCGGAAGCGCTTCAGCCCTTTGCTCCCAAGTGCTCGGTTTATTTGCTCCAGCCAGGTCTGTCCTCTTCATGGCGCCATCATACTCAAGTCCTCAGCTCCAGATGTGAGGGCTTTCATGGTCGTCACCATCCCTGCAGTGCAACTTTTGTGCAGGCACGCGCCATGCTTACGCTCCAAGGGGGGCAAAGTGATCTTCACCAGCCCGAGCCTTGCAGCGTTACCTCCCAGGAACTTAGAGAGCGTCCCTCGTCCGTTCTTCGGACAAAGGGGGATCGCTGCTACACAAAGGAGCTGCTGCACGAGGCGCACGGCTCCCAATCTTGGCTGGCGCCGTCTTGGGCCTCACGAGGCCTTGGCGACGAAGGTGGCCGTCTACCCACCTTGGAGAGCGCAAAAGCTACTTGGAAAGCCCGCGCTGCAAGACGTGGATGACAAAGAAGTGCTGCTAAAGTCGCTTGTCGAATTTGGCAATCGGCTTCTCAAGCTCGAGTCTATGACGGCGCATGATGTCTCCCTCCTTAGGCTTTTTAGTTCAATGCCACACCGATTTCATGCGAGCCCTGAGACCACATTGTCGCAAAGCAAGCTTTTGGAAGCGCAACAGCTTGAAAGCGCCAAGCAGCATCCTCAACCTGCGCTGGCGCCTTTAGGATGAAACAGCATGGATAAAGCCGGTCGGCAGACTGAAGGAGAGGAAGCGAAGAACTGGCCTTTGGGACTTCTTCCACTTCCTCAGGATTCTCCTCAAAGCCACGCGATCTGCCTCGCTTCAGCCTTCTCTTCGAAAGGCCTTGTCCGTGCCTGGGCCCGAACTCGACTCAACTTGCTTCTTCAAGGCAAACACAGAGTCATAGTTCGATAAACCCCCCAAACTCCCTAAAGCCCGAAACAGCCTCCGAAGCTCGAATTGAAGGCCAAGGCACTGTACCTCGGCGGCCACCCGAGACAACAACCGGTTGGCCTTGGCCCTGCGCTCCTCGGCGCCAACTTCCGCCCCGGCTGGGGAATCACGGGAAGCAGCGGGCATAGGGCGTAGGGCATAGTAGTAGTAGTAGTAGTAGTAGTAGTAGTATTAGTAGTAGTAGTAGTAGCAGCAGCAGCAGCAGCAGCAGTCCTTCACGACTTGAGCAGCCCTGTTAAAAACGCGCTTCGCCTCTCTGATCACTCCTCTCCCTTCGCCGGCCTGGGCCTTCTCCTTCACTTCGTGCCTGCCAGGGGCTGAGATAGGCTAAGGCTGGGCTTCGGAAGAGTCCGGCCTGAGGACGCCAAACCTGACCAGTCCCTCAGCAAACCTGCGAGAGAGCATGTTTTCCAGGGGAGTAAAGAGCAGCTAGAGTACAGTTAGAGGATTCCGAGTACGTGGCATCTGCATCTATCTGCAGGCCATGAGTTCGTCAGGGTTTAGCGCGTCTGTTCGTCCGAGGCTCGCTGGGTTGAGGTCGCTGGTGATCTGCAGAGCATCGAGCCCGCGGCGCTCCATGTCCAGCCTGTTAGAGGCGGCCCGAGGGATATGAGAGGTGCGGTAGCAGAGCAGAGCAGAGCAGAGCATGGAAGAGCTGAGAAAGGAGCTCATCGGCTGCCTGATCCTCGGCCAAGGCTCAGGCTTTGCCTCACCCAGTCCAGAGAGGCTCAAAGGCAGGCCAGGCGGCATCGATTGTGACGGCTGCACGAAGTTGCCGTGCACGGCGCCTGGAGAGACAGTCTCTCGCAGTTCTAGCACCATGACGCGTGTCTCCGATGCAGATGGGGATGACCCTGTGAGCATTTTGGCAAGTGGCTCGGCAATGTGGAAACGATCAGCCTCCTCCTTGGCAGCAGTCGCGCAGCAAATGCCCTCACAGCTTCAGGAGGGAGGGTCCCATTGTGCTTCCCCAGGATACTACCCTGAATCGATGAGTCCTTGCCAAGGGCGTCAAGGACTACACAAAACCGCTGCCTCAAGATCCGACAAAGAACCACCTGCCCAACACGCTCTGACTGCTGGCCAGCATCTGCTTTCAAAAGTTGCGTCAGGTCATCTTTGGACATGACGAAGCTTGGAATCCTGAAGCCAAGGCTCAACAACCACCTAACATCTACAGGGGATGTCGTGGTATCAGCGGCGGGCTTTCAAACAGTGCATGACACCGTGCCGGCAGTAGTCTGCTGTAGGCAAGGTTCTTGTGTTCGGCCTGTTTGTGCTGGCTCCTCAGACGTGCGCAAGACACGCAGAGCCATCAGAGCAAAACCGAGCAAGTTGCTGTAAGAACTACGGGATTAATGTGCCCAAAGATGATGGCTCCTGACCCAGGGCATCTTCGAGACCAGCGCCGGGTTCTGAAAGTTTCCCAGCAAGGCCTGCTCCACACAGCAAGTGGCAGTGACCTCCCGAAACCAAGCCTCCAAAGAGAGCAGGACCCCGAAAAAAGGGCGCTGCACACTCCTCCAGAAGTTGAAGACCTTCACTCTTCTCGCTGCACGTGTATGGCAACTGTTGTCGTCATCGCCAGTGGCTACAAGCAGGTTTCATACATGGCCTTGCTACAGTATTGAGCATGTTGCTCTTGTTCTTAACCTAAGCGTCATAATGATCGATGAAGCTGGACCCTAAACCCTAAATTCAAAACCCTAAACCCCAAACCCACAGGCTTAAACCCACAACCCTAAACTCCCAGAGCGCTGCCTGAAGCTTCGCTGCCACCTTCCGGCTCCTCCACCGCTGGGACTCCAGGGAGCCCCGAGGCAACTCGAACCTGAGGTGCCGAGATTTTTTATGAGGGTTTTGGGTTAAAAACCTCTTCTTTCTTTTTTAGAGGTTGAGGTTTAGGGTGTTGGGTTCTGGTGACGTGAGTGATTGGGGTCTTTAGTAGGGTCGATGATTTTCTGAAACTGCCATGTAGGGTTTGGCAAAGGTGCTCCATTTCGGTGATAATTGGGATTTGGGGCCTCTGCTTCTGTCAGGATGATACAGGTACGGTTGAGTTCAGGGTCTTACTTGTGGCCGAACCTGCTTGCGAGGGGGTCTTCGTTCAGTAGAGTTTGGGGCGAGGCTTCGGGTTGTGTGGCAAGGTTCGGAGCTCAAGGGCATCGCGTTCCGTGCCTAGTGGGCTTCAGAAGCACGTTCCCAAGAAGTGCGGGGTTTCTTGCCCATTCGTTGCCTGGCTGCTTCTCACATGGAGGTCCTGGCCAGTGGACAAACCCCTTTCGGGCTTGCAAAAGGCCAGGAACACGAGGTCGCAACTTGCACAGGACAGAAATATGGGTGCCTACTGCCTTCATACTTCAGGATTGCTTGCGGTGGCTGACACACAGTTCAGCGAAAAGAGCACTCAGGCATGGGTGCATCGTTATACTCTCACGTCATGGCGACCAAAAAACCGCACACCTGTCTCTATGGGAGATCTTGATGTGTTGCATGTGTTGCACGCCGCTGGCTGAGCCAAGGAGCTCATTCTGCGGTTCCGGCCCCAGGGGTCCTGAATGCGACAGTCAGTACATCGAAGTATTGCACACCCAGACACATACATCATACATCCCATGCTGTGGTACTAGTAAGTAAGAGTTCCAGCAACTCGGTGCAGCTTCGGCACGTGAGCTGCCGTCTGCCTGAGCACACAACCAGCATTGCAAGCATTTGCAAGCATCTTGTGGATCATTACGCTGACACACACTCATCCGCCCTTCTGCTTGCAACCCCGAGGCTCGTCCTTTCGATGACTGCCTCTTCGGCTTACTGGCCGAGGATGGGTTCGGAAGCAACGAGACTGAATTACCTCACAAACGCTTCACAAAACAGGCCGTCACGTGAGGTGTTCACAGAAAAACTGGCTCATCAGCCAACAGCTGCCTCCGTCTGTTGTTGTAACTTTCCCGAGACATCCTCTTGCACGACTCACCAGCTCTCTGCCGCCAGGACGCTGAAGCCCGTGGGATCAAAGCACACGCTCCGCATGCCGCCTGGACTCGACTCTGCTCAGTGCCTCCACGGACTCCAGGTCATAAAGTCTATCTGCTGAGACACTTCGCCAGGAAGCTGCTGCCATGCTGTCCAGCACCCAGGCGCGCAGCAATCGGTAGCTTCATGCGACCATCTCTACCCAACTACTTAGCTTAGCAGGTTTCCCTTTGCACGACACCGAAGAAGCTGTGCAAACCCCAAGCGATTCCTTCGCCTCCATTAGATGCAACTTGCTACCGCGTGACACAGCTTCAGAGCCCTGCCATCGAGCCGGTTGTCCAGGAAGGCAAAGTCTGCCTTAGGGCTTTCCTCATGGCTTCCTGAGGCCACTGCGCGGTGGCTGCACTGTCCGACATCCACAACAGCGAGGAGCCTCCAAGCCCACAAAGTCCAGCACACAAGCAACAGAATCTCGAAGCTTCAAGCAGCGACAGCAGGGAGTACACCTCCACCCATGGATGCAACGATGGCGCGACTGGTACTGGAGGGCTGGAAATGGCCTCAAATCTTGCAAACGCTTCCAAAGCCACACAAGGCTTGCAGCTCCATGACGTTCGCTTTTCCAGCGCCGTTAGCAATCTCAGAAGAAATAGCCAGTCCTCGCATCAAGTGCCACCAAGGCGCACAAAGGCGCTCTTTCGGCGCCTCAACACATGATCAGGACAAGTACGGTCTTAGTCTTTCTTCCCTTTGGTGTTGGCGACATGTTGTTCTCTGACCATCTTGTACACGGTACTGGTACTACTCCAATTAGCACTATTGGTATGTCCGTCCATTTAAACCCGGACTGCCTCCGGTTTGTGGATTCATGACAGCTCTACTTCCAAGGGCACCTCGACCTGCAGCCGGCACTGCGACACGGATGCCGGCAGCCTTGGCTCAAAGAAAAAGACATGGACGACACCGATCATGCACCCAACTGCAGGCTCTGCAAGCATGACTCGATAAATCGCAATCCTAGCCACGTCAATGACCAGGCATGGCCCGCAGCTGGTTGCTGTGGCGACATGAACTGGTGCACCTCCAGCCTCACAGGAGGAAATTTCGCCCGAAGATCTCAGGCAGCGCAGTGAAGTCAAGCCGCCTTTGTTGCAGCCGCTGTGGCGAAAAAACGGGAGGTCTCACCGCCTCGCCCTTAGCTTCCGGTCCCGGATCGATGATCTTTCCAGAAGCTCAGGCTCAGACCCTCTGTGACTCGTCCGATGTGGTCGAAATCTCAGAGAGGAGTTCGATTCAATCTTTGGCATGAGAAAGGAAGATCTTGTCGCACCTGCCGCCCATCCAGCATCTGGGGGTCGGCCAGCCAGGTCGGCTTCTGAAGGGCCTGCCGTAAGGCAGCGTAATGCAGCATCCGATTGAGGTCACCGCAAGCTTCTGGGGCAGGCTCCCACCTCCTGGTCTTCCTCGCCAACCTCCTTGAAACGATGCAATCAACACACAAGTACATACTCTTCTCATTGATGTGAGCTCCTCCTGCGACGGATCCCCTGCAGAGAGCCTCGAGGAAGGCCTCGTGAGCTTACCACAGCGCACGACGCCCCTCGAGACAAAAAAGTTGCTGCCAAGGGACGGCCCCCGCGCTGTGGAGGCAGCGGAGCCCCCTTCTGGCAGCTGAAACTGCAGCATCCGGCTCCTAGCGGACCAGCCCCTGGGCATGCTTCTTAGTGTTTGCCTTCCATGAACCCTTCCCTCAGCTCCCGTGAGAGGTTTGCCGAAGGTCGGCATTGCGGGGCGATGGTGGCGTGGATCCTGGCAGAAATGGAGAAGCCCGCGATTCGATCCCACAGAAGGTTGGGACTCGTCTGCACCTTCCAGTGCCATCCTGGTCTCTTCGGAGCCCTCTTGCACAGCAGGCAGCAAGCCTCCGCCAAAAGAAGAGGGAAAAGCTTAATTAGGAATGCCTTGACAAAAGGTGCCAAGCCTGACGAGCTCTCCGACAGCAACGCAATGGAGCGCTCGGAGCGGGAGATGGAGATCACCTCCATGGACCTGACGAAAAATACATGGGCGGCCCCATGTTTTACATGCTTTCCAATCCTCACCTGTCCGACGTGATCGCCAAGGAAGGCGCGCTGCCAGCATGGCGGTCCTGCGCGGCCAATTAAAAACACCTTCGGTTTAGAGTTCGGTTTAGAGTTCAGAAGCTGCCATGTAAAGCCCTAAGCCCTACGTCGGCCCTACCCCACACCCCGAAGTCCTAAACCTCACACCCTAAACAGGCCCTGACTGAAGCCTAAGGGCCGAAGCCGCAAACCGGCTGGTCCGGAGTTGGTGGCGGCGAACTGCGCCGCAGGAGACCCAGGCCCTCCGGGTGCAAAGCCCGCAGCAAGGCCGGATCCTCAGCTCCCAGCTCTTCCTCCACGCATCTTCATAGCAACAATACAATGAGCAACAGTAAGGCGCAATGAGGGGAAGAAGAAGAAGAACAACAACAACACTTGTAGCAATCATAGGGAGAAGAAGATTTTGATAACGAGGAGACGAGTAATAGCCGTTTCAGGTATGCCGAGAGAAGCAGCTGAGCTCGAGGCAGAGTTGGAGTGGCCAACTAAAATCTGCCCCGAGCGCAGGGACGCAGAGCCCAGGGACATGTTGGACGACGTCTGCGAGGACCTGCTCTTCCATCAGAGGCTGCATCAAACGAGGCGGCTGCTGCAGTTCTATTTGCATGGTCTCCATGGACAAAGGACAGTGCGGCTTATCTGGCCGCTTCCATACCCAAACCATCAATCTGCGATCCGAAAGCACCAACAAAGCAACCAAACACTACAAGGTAAAACAAGCAGAAAGACACACTCTCATGACTGACGAGTGTGCTCACGACAGAGCAACAGACCCGAAAACAATACAGACATCCCAGCGAGAGCGGGAATGGTTTTGGCAAACGTGCTAAGCTACGAAAAGATGTGATGTTGGGCACTGCGTGTGAAGTCAACAATGATCTGCGGACAGACGGGAAGGCATTGCTCAGCACCTCAAGCACTGAATGTGAAAATCTGGCAACATGACCCACCTGCCCAGAGAACGTTGAGAGGCACTGTTCCTTCACAGCAGGTTTCTGTTCGCGGGCCACTTCAATTTGCTGCACACGCGAAGCACTGCTCGGCTTGAAGACAATGGCCATTACAGCAACTGACTAGCCCCCGCCTGCCACACAGCTTCAGGTCATTCTTACACAGCGGGCAGGAGGATGCCTTCACAAACCACCTGGTTCTTTGTGCGTGGCCATGGGCATTCAACGGGTGTTTCACCCTCCGAACCACTGGAGCAGCCAAGGTGCATGTCAATGCACTTGGCATGGAAGATGTGTGCGCAATCCAGAACTCTGCAAATGTCCACGCCGACTTGAAAGGCCTGCAGTCAGCTATGGACCAACTATGGCTTTGAAGCGCCCATGACAACTTTCGATCCTGCGTGTCACAAGTCGGCAGAAATGTGTTCTGGCCTCACGGCAGATTGCACAGCTCTCCACCTGGCTCGCCTGACTACCATTCCAAAGGACGAGCTCACCTGAGAACAATGTGAAAAGCACACACCTCTGTCCATCAAGCCCGCTTGAACTGATACAGCGTGCCGGAAGCCACTGACAGGAGGTAAGCGACACCAAGGCGCTTTTCTTCACGATGCCCTCGCACATAATGCCTCCACGCCTTCGCACAGAAACGGCTCAGTGACGCGACTGAGTCGGACTGCGGAACCCCAGTCTGCGCCTCATGGTGACTCTGCAAAAGCCAGCGGCAGAGGAGCCCAGTGAGACGATCAGCCCAACAGCTGGGAGACTTCCGAGTTTAGTATGAAGCTACTAACATTAACTTCGTAGAGTAGGGTATCAGAAGTGTGTGGATTGAGTTTGGGTGCCATGACTGGCCGAAGCCCGCTGTGATGTGCATCTGCATGCGATCGCTGCCTCTGCGAGATCCTACGGTCCTACCCGTTCTGATTCGAGCCATTTGCAAAACGCTTGGTCTTCAGAAGCTATGCGTCTTGATGCAACTGGAGCCCATCAAGAATACGTAACTCTGCCAACTGTGCACAGCCGAACCGCGCCGTTGCAGCTGGGCAGAACCCTGTGATCCACTTGCTCGGATCATATCATCTCCAACAGGCTCTTACGTTGCCATCATGACTAGTCCGGACTTTTTTGCCATCCTGCATCGGTGGAGATCACAGAACAACGTACCAACCTACCAGTATGTCCCTTGATAGAAGCGGATGCACATCATATGACAAGACCATCGAACCCGTTTAAGGTTGCGTCCTTAAACCTGAGCTCATAGGATGTAGTCTGACTCTTGTCAACTTGTTCAGGCACCCCCTGCATGCATGTCTCATGCAGAATGGCCGTCGTCAGTGCTCCACAGATTTGGACGAACCACGAACACAACCAAAGCATCATGTAGCACTTGACACTTGATCCGTGGTCACAAAGACATGCATGAGTGCAATGTGCGATACAGCAACTGCGGTGCCCAGTGATACAGCCAGATTTTTGCAACCAAGTATGCGCCCGCGATGGCTGCTTCTCAGCGTGCATGCCTGCAGTCGGATGCACACAACATAGTCACATCATTTCGCACAACTAGGCATAACTAGACGGCTGGACGCTCACACCGGACGCGACTCGACAAACTTACATGTCGCCTCAACTTCTCGATCTGCTCCCCGCAGTGCGGGCATGCCAAAGCCTCCGAAAAGTGGACGGCAACACATCGGAAGACGCATCTACCCTGCCGACATCTCCAGCTCGAGAGTTACAGCCGGCCTTTGGTTGCTCCATCAGCTCGCTCGCAACACAGTAGTAGCAGAACACCTCTCAGCAAATCTCGACAGATCGTCTGAAGGACTTGCCTATCAAGCTCGCTGAAGGGGATTCACGGTCTCGTATCGCGAGCTCTATGCCACGCGACTGTCTGCTCTTGCTCATGCTCACAACACCCCGTCGATCCAGCAGAATCCCCGGTAGTAAAACAAGGGGCATGGTTGCAGTTTGTCCGCGTTGGCACCGTCATCGGTGATGCTCCACCTCGAGAGTAGGTCCGGCAAATGGCTCAAGAGTCCAACCTGCCCTCTGCTTCAGCGTTGCCCTCCACTTCGAGCGAGTGTGTGGCCGGCTGAGATCGGCGCAGAATCCACAACACAGTTCGGCCCTTGCTGCATCCGCATGCGTCGACGCCTGTGCTACTCCAAAGCACGGGCTGATGAGCCGGCATCAGCTGACGTCGGCGAGCCTTTGGCAGGAGCCGCCTGGTGCAAGACTGCACGGCAATGCTTGCGGGCCGAGTCATGTCGCACTTGTCTTGCTCGTGTTCTTCCGCTCTTTCCAACGCTGTGTTGCCAGGCAGCTCCGCAAATCACCACAAGCGATCGAGATCCATTTGGCCTTGTGATGGATCGCCGCAGCCGCGACACATTCACCAGCGGCATGACCTGCATCGCAGTCGTGTGGATTTAACGGTGGTTAGCGACTGAACTGCTCCAATCCGCTCCTGCGGTCTAGGGAAGACAATGAAAAAGTTTTCTCCGGCCCAGGTGTGATCTAAGAAATGTGCACGATACTATCGTCGATGCACCTCTCCTAGAACTAGGTGCCAGACCGTCAGAAGAAACTCGGAAAGACCGTTCCTCCCAAGAAGTCAGGGAAGGAAATGGCTCTCAGAGGCACTCTCTGACTTAGAGCTGAGAGCTGAGATCTGATCCAAATCATGACACGGTTCATGTACTCGAAGGCGACCTGGTCACATTTTTCGGGCACTCTCCAAGCTTCATCGCGAGCTCCATCGCCTGTCGACGCGCTAGGGGATCGATATGTACCTGGAGCGTGCGCTTGCAACCGACGCCACGACGGCAAGGGCAAATCCGCGCCATGCACCATCCGAATGCCAAGAAGTCTGTCGCGCAGCTCACTGCACTCACCGTACCTGCAGACAACGTTGTGAGGCTTACCAACACTTGCTTTGCTGCCATGACAAAACCTGCGGACAAGTCCCGCCTGAGAAACAGCAAAAAATTCCAAACTACTAGGATGGAGTGTACAGCAGTTACGCGTGGAAGAAGCCGTCGAAACCTCGGACACTAGCGAAGCCAATTGACTGACATCCGAAACAATCGCGGAAATTAGTGCCGCACCCCTTCCAGAACCACTGCAGGGGAGAATCCTGCAACGGCAAAGTCTTTTCGCTGGACATCTCCAACATTCTCGATCACTGCTCTCTTTTCAAACATGCCTGCTTTCGAATTGTATATATCATTCTGTTCCGTGGTTGGCATGATACGGAGTCGCCCCTGCTGGGACAGCCTTGAAGGGACCCTACGGAGCCCAAGCAGCAAACACCCCACCTCAGGGACATCAAGGCGCTGCCAAACATCCTGCAGTATGAATTTTGCACAGGCTTCGTCACAGGCTTCGAATTGAGCTCCTGCGCACGTGCTGCCAGCCAGGGAAGAACGACCTTCTGAAGCACCATTAGCAGCAACAAAACTCTGTTGGTCATACAGCTCGCATAAGATGTATGCACGTGTGTGTGTGAGCAAGTAGCTATGCATGTATGTATGCATGTATGTCTGTATACATGTATGTATGTATGTATGTATGTGTGTACATACGTACGTAAATATGTATATGTGTAGGTCTGTAGATAAGTATGTAAGTATGTCAGTACGTAAGTATGTAACTATGTATGCATGCATGCAAGCAAGTAAGCAAGTAAGCATGTATGTACAAATACATGCACGTATGTATATGTAACTATCTATCTACCTATCCGTCCGTCTATCCGTCCATCCATCCATCCATCCATCCACCCATCCATCTGTCCATCATCCACCCCTGGTGTCAGAAACGACACCAACATGAAGAGCCACACATATCGTTCAGTCAAGAGATTGAGTCTGAACAAGTCAGGCCTGCATTCGACACGCACTCAACTCGCACTCAAAAACCTGAATACCTGTTTGGCGGAACCCAGAATATTTCATGCAATCAGGAGTCAAATTTATAAAACTCCGATGTCATAGTATGGAAATCATGGAAATCAAGCGTGGCAACGGCTACTCGACCACATGCTTTCGCAGTCGAAGCTCGCCGGTTGAAGGTTCTGTGAAATGGCCAAGGCCAACCGCAATGTGTCTCACACACACACACACTCTGCATACAAGGAGTTGCATTTCGCAACCCCAACGCACGTCCCCCTTTCATGACTGAATGCTACTTCCATGGGTCGCTGGTCGACAGCTTCGACGCCTTGGCACGCTTTTCCAACTCCACTTCGCCGTGTGACCTACGTTTGCGATCACGCCATTCTGCGATGACCTTGTAGAGCTATGTTCCTGCTTCGAGCATTTCCTTCAAGACCCCACCCTCGTGGTCACGGAAAGAACACCGCATACGGAGCTTCGGATCAAAGTTCTTAGCATTGACACAGCGACGAGTGCAAGGAGGTGGTCAACCCACGGTGCTGTCAGCAGGCTGTTTCTTGTACTCCGTTGCCGCGCTGACATGTGACAACTCCGAGCCACATGTCTGCAAGAATACGCATCCTTCCTCCCAATCTAAATGTCAATGCCATGCATTCGAAAACGTGATTGTCAGCAGCACACAGTCGTGACATAAAACTTCAAGCATGATTGTGTTAGTTTTCGCAGTAAATGCACTCGAAAACTTCGACCGGAGTCTCAAAAACTTACTTTTCCTTTCCTGTCGCAGCAAAGAGGTCGGGCTTTGGTAAGCAAGCCAACTGTTCTGGCCCGGCTTGAAGCTACGCTAGTGCACGTACAACGGTTTGCCCGACTCGCAGCGAACTGCTAAGCAGCGTCAGCTCACTTCAGAGTCCTACTGCAAACGTGGCAAAAACAGCAAGAGGTCACTCGTCGCGAGACGGCCTGAAGGCTTCGCAGCTCCTGCTGCTGCACTCTGTACCGGAGCAGTCGGTCAGCGTGTAAGCTTTCAGCGGCAACAGGGTTTAGGGTGAAAGGGTGTAGGGATTAGGGCGCGAGTGCATGCAGTGCAGTGGCTGCTCTGCCAGCACATGCCAAACACAAAACTGTTCTGCGAAAGCAACGGCCATCACCTTGAGCTGCAAAGCAGGCTTGAGTTGCACGGCTGACTGCAGAGATGGCACGTGCTCTCGACTATGCAGCGAGCGAAGCAGCAAAATACCAACTTACTCTGATGGACGAGTCCACTTCGCATCCATCCATCGATCCATCTATTTATCTTATCATCTAAACGTCTTATCTGGCCATCTAGCTGTCCATTTAGCTCTGTGCGTGTGCTACGCACATGCATGTGCATGCATGCATGTATGAATGTATTCATATAGGCATGCATGCAACGCGTGTATGTGTATGTATGTATGTATGTATGTATGTATGTATGTATGTATGCATGCATGTATGCATGCATGCGCCTATGTATGCATGTATGCGCATGCTAATGTACAGCAAATATGGCTCTGGTGTGTATACTGTTTCATATTCCGCACATGTGTGTTAGATTTGATTGTTTTAATGTACGTGTCGATCTTATGCCCTTTTACGTGCTTTGTTTTATATACATTCATGCGCTGAATGATTTCCCTATTCGATGTACTTGCATACCAAGAATCAAAACCAATTCTGCAAGTGGGCTGGTGGGTGGATGAAAGAGGGCTCAGGATCTTTCAGGCTTAGGCTTCCTAAACCCGAAAAGCCCGAGCGTTTTGTCCTTTAGCAACCCTAAACCCTAAAACCTAAACGGCTTTGAGCCCGTCGGGTCTAGGGAGCCCCAAACCCGAAAGCCTGAACCCGAAACCCTCAAACCTATCTTGGGACCAAGCCCACAATGCCAGGAAGCCGATCCGCTGAGCTCTTGTCAGGGGCTGCACATGGCCTCGCAAAGCAAACTCGGCCCCAGCGGAGCGAGCTTCAGATTCATCGGCGCATGCATACACAGTTACATAATGTATGTATGCAGCATACATCTTGGACTATCTATCTGTGATTATGTTGGTGTACACAGATCAGCAATAAACAATATGCGTGCATACGTATAAATACATAAATAAATATATGAATATATATATATATACATATTTTATATTTATATGTGTGTGTGGCAGATAGATAGATAGATAGATAGGTAGGCAGATAGATAGATGAATAGATGTGCACCGTGTCGTCTGCAGAATAATCAATCAAAGGCCTTCTGCGCTGAGGCGGGCGTGGCGCACATTTTGCAATCGTCCCCCAGGCCTGAGTGCTGCGAACTATGCAGAGCCACTAGAAGCATAGCAGCCCTTGTGGCAACCCTTTATACCAACCTTTACAATGATCCTGACAGCAACCCTTATAGGAATCTGAGGCAGATGCGTGGGTTCGTCAATCCACACTGTGTACCTGTGCACGGCCGAAGTACTGTGTGGTCATTGCTTGCGGTTATCAGCAGTGATGCCGGTAGCCGAGCGAACACTGATGTACATTTCACAGATCTGCTAGCCGACGTTACCTACCTAACAACCGACCGACCGAGCCACCGATCTACCTACTCCGTCATGCACTCGTACATTTACTTACTCACTGACTTACTTACTCACTGACTTACTTACTCACTGACTTACCTCCTTACTCTAAGTAGCTTAGATACATACTTACATAATCTAGTCTATGCCCCAGCATTCTTCATGCTGCATGCTTGCGTATTCATGTACATCAAGGAGATAGCAGGATGGCCTCCAAAGCGTTGCACCAAGGAGTAGATCGAGCTCCGGGACGAAAGGCTCCAGTGACCTGCCATGGTCCCTATGGGCACAGCGATGACTCTCTCAAAGCGCACGGCACCACTGCGACGTCGCGGTGGTGGCTTCGAGCAGCTGCTGCCTTCCGAGTCCGGAAAACGCTTGAAACCACATCCGGAACTGGCCGGAAGTGGCAAGCTGTTAACGGGGCCCCACCTTAGAATGGAAGTGATCTCGCCATCCAAACGCCTGGTTAGCAACAGGTGCACAGTTCAAGAGCAGTGAAACGAATTTTTTGGGCGCTGACCGTGCATCTAGCTGGTTTACTCGCAGCACCTGCAAGCTGTGCAAACAGCATGAGACCTACTGAGACCCCACTACACGACTTACAGTTGTGCAATCGCTGGCACGAAGCCTTGTCTAAGTCATGACTGACCAGCGGATGCACAAAAGCAAGTTTCGACACGGCGAAACACCGGCAGCTGGAAATGGGATCGCAAAACCATAGCTGCCACAACCAGCATCGCCGGAGAGAGTACTAGGGAAGAAGCCTTTCATCATTGCAACCTAGGATCACTTGCCATGTCTTCCAGCTTCGTCCGCAGAACTCCTTGTAGCCCCGCAGCTGCTGCCGAAAGACTGTGAGCATGTAGTCATTCAGACTTCGAATGCTTTTCTTCCCATGCACACAGGACAGTAGAAGCCGAAGCTGGAGCAGAACGACTGAGCGGCAAATCACGACAGCAGGACAAGACGAGGATACCAGCACGTCTACGGAAGACTTCAAGTTTGGGGTGCTAGGCTTGAGGGCTTAGGGTGTGATGTCGTGCCCTGTCGGCTGCTCGCTATGTTCGGATTCAAAGCCCAGGCATGCCCAGCTGCATAGGTTTTGGGCCCTGCCGACACAGGAATGCAAAGGTCTCAGGGCCTCCAAAACATTTAATGAAACACACACGAGGCTGTGTAAGCAGGATGCATCAGAAGTCTTGTATAAGACGGTCAGCAACTAAACAAATATTTTAGGCAGGAAAGCAGCAAAGTGTGAATTGGTGGAGTCAGAAAACTGAAGACATGGAGAAACCACGAGATCAATAGACAGACGGACAAATGCCAAACGCACGGACGGGAGATAGCTCGATGGATGGATCATTCTTAATCGGCAGGCACTCATACACCGCACTTGCGTGTCGCTGCATCTATCTGTATCGCATACAGCTAAAAGTATGCGTGTTTGTGGCGTGAACGCATACCTGCAGGATTCTGCAGGCATTTATGCACACGTTTGCTGTACAATTTCTCGCTCAATAATTACATTCGAGCTTCCCGCTTCATTCCTGCTTTCTTACGGCTGACGGTCTTGAATGTGGCACCTCCACATGCTTGCCGACACTCGAACTTTAACATGCAAAAACAGACCAGATCACTCAGCAAGCTCCGAAGCTCCTGCGCCGTCGGCTTCGAGGAGGTGAAGAAAACCATCGCGACATGGGAGCCAGTGCCGGTGAAAGAGATGGTGCTAGCACTCGTGCTTTGGTTCGGATATTGTAGGATTTTGCGGACTCTTGCAGAAACTTAGAATGTATAACTGATCCGAAGCAGTCACAAAGCACCCCACGGTTTCGTTCGCAAGACACGCGACCTCGGCCTGCAGGGGAACTCCACATCTATGCAAACGGCCGTCACCATCTTTTCCGTGCGAGGGGGTGCAGTGGAGTTTCTGCTTCTCTTGGTGCGTGTAAGCACAACGCAGAAACCCGTCGGAAGCGTGCTCCTCACAGTGCGGCACTCGCACCAACCATCCACGTGTTTACATGGAGCGGACCCATAGCTCATCCTACAACGCTGCACCAGTCCGCAGCCACTATCTGTTTCGTGCCGGTCTCGGCGGGATGGTCACTCTCTTCAAGAGCCAGCACCTCTCGACTTTAGAAGAGACAGAAATCGCAAGTGTGATCTCTCTACACCAATAGACACTGCCGAAGCAGTCGGCCTGTCGGGCTGCAGCCACCTGTACGAGCTTTGGTCCATAGAACGGGCTATTGGTGGTTGTAGGTATCAAGGCTTGCCAGAATTATGGAGGGTTGCCGTTTCTGGTCGTTCCTGGTAGCAATTCCGGAAGCTGTGCTTCATGCCGATAGCGGGTGCCGGCAATTTCAGAAACCATGGCTCAGCAACCAAAGGCTGGTGTCAGAAACCAGGAGAGGCGACTTCAGAAACCACTGGACGCCGCTTCAGAAATCATGGTATGGGTTGGGGTTTGGGCGCCGCCCGATACCCTACTCCAAGCACTGGCCCACACCCACAAACCTACTTTTGAATCTTCAACTTCAAGACTGCGTACATAGTCGTTGGAGCCTCGAAAAGGATGAGATTTAGCTCCATGGACCGATTTGGCTCGCAAGGTAACCATTTCCTTAATCTAAGTACGCGATGACCCGAAGCCTATCCCACGCACTGACAAAGGGGGAACCAACCCTCATGCTTTCCACCTTCCGGTAGCAATGTCAACATCCCGGGCATGGACGACGGACTTTGTGACTAACATGAATAAAAACAATGTGTCCCCAGCTTGCAACTATTCTTGCTTGCGCATCCTTCGCTCTGCCCATGACCAACGGGCCCACGGGCCCGCCACGGGCCGAAAAGGGCCCCGGTTTTTGGCATCATGAGCAGAAACATGGGATATCATGAGCATCGTGCACATCAAGAGCATCGTAATGGCGGCCAATCATTAAATTTGTAAAGTGAGGGCACAGGGCGTTAGGTTTCCCAGCTTTCCGCATGGTTCCTGAATCGGCGTTTGCTGGTTTCTGAATCGCTGTTGCTGGTTTCCGAACCATGGTTGCTGATTTTCGGGCATGGTTTCTGAAGCCGGCAGCTCATTGCCAATAGCACCGAAGGACCGTGGGGGGGGGGAGATTCCCATGCGAAACAAGCTCCATGGTAACAAGGTGTATACTACGCAGGTGCAGTGCCCCGTTTCCGGGTAAAGGCGCGAACTGCGCCCGGCCGAGCATACCGCCCCGAAAGTCGGTGCCGGCGCCAGGATTGGCATTTCTGCGTCCCCACCTGCCCGGTGGGGCGAGTGCCGGCCGTCAGGTCTTTGAGTCAAATTAAACTAATAACGGGTGGCGAGGAATTCGAAAACGGTGGTCGAGCCGAATTCTTCGGCGGTCGACCGCTGGAATTTGTTCCTAAACGCACCCGTGCGTTACACAGCAAGTTCCATGCTAACCACGCTGTGGCCAAAATCTACCAAGAAGGTGCAGTGCCCCTTTTCCTGGTCGAAGCGTGAACTGCGCCCGGTACCGACCCGATAACCGGTACCGGTGACGGTGCCGGGGGCACGTCTGCGTCCCCCGGCACACCCACCATGCACAAGGCGCCGGCCCTCGTACAAAACGCAAAGGTCTCACTCAAGCATCCGATGGCAGGCGGAGTCGATGTCGACGGCCGGCTCGGCGAGGACCAACACCACCTCGCCGACGGGTCGTGGCCTCCGGTCCCGCCCTCCGCCCGTGCTCTGGAGGCGTCACCTGGAAGATGGCTCCGAGACGTTCTGATCGGACAGGACCCTCGTCGGACGCAACGCCAAGATGCCGTTGACCGCCGGGTCCTTCCCGTATCCCTTCATAGGGCGAACTGGCCAGCTACATGGTCGATAAATCCAATGTTTGGGAGGGAAGCGACAGAAGGTGACGAGCTGGAGGACTTGGGCTGGTATCTCGACCGAGCCTTCAGCAGACGCGCTACCACGCCAGCCATCCGCCCGAAGGCATCATTGTCGAAAGTAATCATGGCATCGAGGAGCTGCTGAAAGGGGCGGCGACCACTGTCGCCGACTGTCGCCAGATCAAGGACGCCCCGCTCGGTCCGTGGTGGATGCCGGCATTGTCGAAGGCTCCGGCCACCAAGGAACCCGACGCCCGACATGGGCAACTCTCCTGTGCCGCCCGAGGCGGCCCCTCCAGTAAGGCTCAGTAAGGATGTAGTAGCGGACGTCGACATAGGACCACCCGCCAGGTCCAAGCCGGTCCACGCGAGGAAGTCCGAATGCGGAGGGCGCCTGACGAAGCCATGATCAGGCAAGCCGGGGCGAAAGGCGCAGGAGGGAATTGGAAAAAGGCGGTCGAGCTGAATGCTTCGGCGGTCGACTGCTAAAACTTGTTCCTATAACGCGCACGCAGACACACATACGCACACAGAGACAGAGAGAGAGAGAGAGAGAGATGCGTTACTCAACAGATCAGAAAACCGCATTGACATTACACATCTTCTTCTGCTACAGTCTGCAATGTATTGTGCTCGAAATTCCTGTCCGGATCCGAAACTCGGATGTCTCCACGACTCCGTTCATGCACCCCTGAGCCGTGTGCCCCGCCTCAGCAGCAGTGTGACCGAGTCGCTGCGAGGGCCACGGCTGTTACTGGCATGGCAAGCATTACAATATGCGGGAAACGATTTCGCAAACCACACGCCTCTCGTTCAGCTCAAAGGTCACCTGCACACCCTTCAGCACCGGCATCTGGGCCAGACAGCGGGCATCGGCACATACCACTGACCACTTCTACCCTTGCTGCGACTTCTCCATTCCAGTGCATCTGTGCAGCACATGATGTACAGTACAGGTGCCCAGCTGTCGCCAATTCTGCCAGGCCACCTCCTTGTCGTCACTGCCTTGAAAGGATTTCGGCAGCGCCGTCCTCGGGAAGAAGATGTCCTGGCACGTGTTGGGGGGTGGTTGCAGCTAGTACAGTGAAGAAGGTGTTGCGGCTAGTGGAAACATGGGACCGGGATTTTCCCTGGGTACATGCGTACTTCCTTCATTTGGAGGTAGTTTCTGGAGTTGCGCCGTCCACATCACACGCCTCTTCCTGCATCCCGTCTGCGAAACGATGCAGTGAAATGGATGCTCCTCCGGGTTGTGCTCGCAGCGGATGAAGCCGAAGCCTTTGACAGTGTCGTAGTCACGGATGACGCCCACCGGCTGCACCCTTGGAAGCGACAAAGGTCGTCAATTCTGGACGAGCCCTGATGCATCCCGTTACAAAACCCACAAAGTAGCACAACAAACTTTCATATACTCCAATATCTTTTGTTGTTAAAAGGGGAGCTCCTCAGACTTGCTTTCAAGTGCTGCTCGTGCGCGGCCTCTAAAGACTCTAACTTATAATATACCATAATATACCGTAATATGCCATCATATACCATACCATGATATGCTGTACCATAGTATATCGAAATATACCATAATCTGCCATAGTATAATATACTATAATGGACTTGGGCCCCTGACCCAGGCCCCAGTGGTATAGCAGGCTCGTTCGGGTCCACCTCCTGGTCCAGGCCAACTCCGGGCCGAGACTTTGGGCAAAAGCGACGAAGAAGCCCGGATCATCTTCACTATGACGTAGTATAGTAGTGCTTTTTCTGTAGTATAGTCGTATAGCAGTATAGTAGTATAGTAGTATAGTAGTATAGTATGGTTTGTGATGGCATATTGATGGTGTATTATAGGTCCTCGACCATCATCCCATCGGGGCGAGACTCCTGAAATTCCACACAAATCGCATTTGAGGTAAAAAAAAAATGCACTTTCCGGAGGTTCCCAGGACGTCGCTTCGGCTTCGTCTGGGAGGTCGTCTTCCGGGATGTCATCCTGTGTGCACTCAACTCATGACGAGCGATCGCAGCACTTCAGCGAAAGCACAAGCTCGCGGACCTCTCGGCGTTCCTCCTCCTTCGCCTGTGGCCACATGCCAAGCAACAGCCACGATCGAACATTACATCCATTCACGCCAACTTGACACCTGCCTCGGCCTCTCCTACCAACGAGTCCGGCAGGGGCTCCTTCATCGTCGAAAACAGGAGGGAGCAAGACTGCCATACTTTCAGTAGCTTTGGAAAAAACACAAAGAGCACTTGTAGTCTCAGCCTCGACTCGCTGAGGGTGGTCGGGGGGCAAAACCACGCGCTGGCGGCCGCCTCACAGGCAACTTCACCTGAACCTTTTTAGGTCGTCCCCTGCCCTTGAAGATGCTTGGGAGCATTTCCAGCCTTCGTCTGTGAGTATGTCAAAGTGCCTTTCAATCTTTCGCTTCTTGACCTGATCTCGGCGACAGAAACCATTGCGCACTAGCCTTTACGCTTTGCGTGCCTACGAGGGCCCAACATCCCAGCAACAACGCCTCAACCTTCAGAAGCCTTCAATTCCCCATCCTTCTGCCCCCATCTTAATTCCACTTCTCTTCAGAAGCACCTTTCAGCAAAAGCTGAAAGCATTTCAAACCTCGCGTAAGCTCCCGTGCTCAGGTTGAGGCGCGGGGGAATCGATTCGTGAACTTTCCATAGTCCTGGCCTGTCACAGAGAAGTATACGAACAGCAAACATGGAAAGCAGAGACTAACAGTGTCGGAATGAGAGGCAAAAGAGCGCACCATTGCCGCACTCCGCCAAGTAATCCGCCATATCCTGCACCATGTCGTCTTCGAGCTCCGACCTTATGCCAAGTCTCTGTGGAACGTGCGAAACGTCTGCACCGTGCAAGAGGCCGTGCCGTGAACAGGAGCTTGCTGCTACAACTGAAGGGATACATCGCTGTAGAGCCCGCTCCTAGGAGTTTTAAGATGTTGATCTACTTTCAGGCTTTCAGGGTTGAGGCCTTGCTTGTAAATGTTTCCAGGTGCTTGGCAGCTCTGCAGGCTCAGCCGGCTCAGCACCTCACAGGGATGTGAACCAGACCGCGAGAAGAGCCTCCGTGCCAGTCCCTGCGCTTTTGCTTCCCAGAGTGGCCTCTTGAAGGGGCACTGTCCCCATCTGGGAAGAGCCGGGACATCTGTTGGGCTCGCAGTTTCCCATCGGTCATGATCTTGACCTGCCGAGAGTCGAACATGTCAAGACCAGTCTGAAGCTGTAGCAGCACGCTCGTTTGTTGGACTAAGAAGCGAAACACTCCGCAAGACCCACGGTGCCAACTTCAGCACTTCCAAAATCGTCAACAGCTCCCAGCTCAACTCGCGAAGTCTTATTCTGATCACTGCAGCTATCATCAGGGAATCAAGGACCCAGCTTCTAGACGAGTTAGAGCTTGAAGCTTCAAGCTAAGAAGTCAAGGCGGAATTGACTTGTGCAATCTTTCAAAAGCCCCGCAGCTCGAGCTGCAGAGCTGTACCAGCTGTCGGCTGGCCGTTGGCTAGCATTTCTCCAACATGGCTTCTGCGAAAGTGGCTGCGTCGGGCACATCACCACCAGCCACCACTACGTCCTTTGTTCTGCGGCTTTGCACGACTTCACACACTGCCATCCGAGACCAAAACTTCTAACAATGCTGCCCCGAAGATAGGCGAGCACCATAGGCATAGACAACAACCCTTCCGAGATCTTCCGAGAAGCCTTGATGATGCCGTTGTCCACGACCATAGCGAAGCGTTTGCAGCGAGGGTTTCCAAGCACTTCCATCGGCTTCTCGGCGTCCAAGACAAGGTCCAAAGCTTTGGTCAGCTCCATGCGCGTGTCACCAAGGAAGGTGATCATGGAGCCTTCCACTTTTTGGTCTTTGGCCCAGCCCTCCATCACCGCTCCATCGTTCACGCTGCACACGATGACTTCAGAAACGCCCTTGGCCTTTAACGCAGCTTGTTTCGCAAGATATCCCGGGACATGAGTGCCAGAGCAAGTTGGGGTGAAAGCCCCAGGCACACCCACCACCACTGCCTCAGTCATGGTATCATGCCACGTGCTCCCTTCATACAGCAGTCATGGCTACCGACAAGCAGTCAAGCCACCTTCTTCCCGGCGAGACGCTCCGCCATGTTCACCTACAGCATCGGCAAAGACCAGATGCGAGCCACTGATGCAGGACCCTCGACTCTTTGGGCAACTGGCTTCTCCAACCGCAAAGTCCCTTCGGCTGAAGATCCCGTTCGGTGCCTTGGTGGGTGGGAAGCCAAAGTCCAACTCGATGGCTGGAAACTTGTCGCCCGCGGCGGCGAAGCCACGAACGCCTAGCAGCAAGGGTGCTAAGTGTGGCTACTATGCTTCCATCCTTATCAAGACCTGCACCCTTTACATCCCTATCTAGTAGAATTGCAAGATCGTGGCTGTGATCATCCTCACGATCATGGCCGTCCTTGCTTTGACTTCTTGTTGCAAGTAACATTGCAACAGTGCCAGAATCGGAACTGGAGCTGTTGTCGTACCCATACCATTGCCAGTGCTGGCACCGCTGCTTGTGTCATGTTATCACTTGCATTACTGTTGCCGCATCATCTTGATGAAGTGCTACTTCCATTATCTTCCATTGCAAGCAACCAACATGGTCACGATCGAAGATGACTGATAGACTGATAGATCACGCCGTGCCCCTTTAATGCTACGGCTCGAGATCTGGTCCTTTACTTCTCTGCACTGCTACACTGGGAGCACCTGCTGTAGATGCACTGGCACGGGCCACTCTCGAGGCCACCAGGCGTGGAGCAAACATGCTTACTCACCTCGGATTCTTTTGAGGAGTCTCGCATACTTCACTTCCCAACTGAGGCAAGATGATGCAGGCCTCTCTATGACTCTATGCTGAGCCAGCCGCAAAGCCAGTCAAGGCAGCCAAGCAAAATAGTTTGGGACGTAAAGCAGCTGCGATGAGGAAGTGTTGAGCAATGCTGGAGTCACTGTAGAAAACAGCGGCTTCTGACAGTCAGCATTATGCATTCAGCATTCAATACAGCTCGGCACACGTCTTGTTAGCTGGGCTGTGCTCAACTCAACCACATGCGCTGCGAACTGGCCTCGAACTCCACACGCTCCCCGACAACCTGTGACTGAGGCCCAGCAAGCACTGTTCTCTGACAGCCCCCGATCCGGACCTCCTCCTTGCGCTCTGCAGCAGCAAGTTCCTCTGGCAACTCCGGGCGCAGGAAGTACACATCCTTCCATGTGGTGCAAAGCGAGGATTGCTACACATTCCGCATCTTCACGCAGACGTCAACAGGTTCCACACCGGCCTCGTCACAGCTCTCTGACCGGACGAAGCCGAAGCCCTCGGAGCGAACAAGTGGATGCCAAGCAAGCAAAAAGAAGTGGGCACCAGCGGAGGCGTTTCGAAAGCCTTGACCGGCTCGAAAGTCACGATTTCTCCAATCAAAACCTCGCGAGTCTGCATCAGGAGCCCAGAACTCAAGCGATCGTTCCACAAGCCGCACAAACCCGCCACCTGGCTTTCCAACGGAACTCGGCAGAACAAAGACCGAAGCGCTAGCGGCTAGAAGGACCACTCAGAGAGTCGCAGAGAGATGGAACGAGCCACCTGTGGCTAAGCCGCTATGCCGGCGCTCAGGTGTCAACTCAACACCCCTTCCACATCACAATCAAGGACATGCATGGAACCTCCGACAGCACAACTTACATAGTTTCCTGGCTCACTCTTAGAGCAGGCCGCCAGAAGAACGCAAGAACGGCCAGAGAACCCCGGCAACGAAGAGTCAACGCGGCCTCACCGCCCTGTAGCTGGGGCCGCTCCTCTCTCCGTTCCTTCCGAAAGCAAAGTGCGGGGGCCAAAGTGACAGACGCCGCAAGAAGGAGCCCAATGCACGACTCACGGCATTCACACATCCCCTGAACCACGTTAGAAGAGGCGTCAGAAAGCATCGCCAAAAGTCGCCCCGCGGTCCCTGCCGACAATTTCCAAGTTTTGTGCGCGCGGCTTGCCCTGCTCTTTGAAGTATCTGCCCACAACACAGGGCCAAAGCCAGACGTGGCTCGGCGCATCCGACCGACCCAGCGCTCCAGAAGAGCAAGAGCTCACAGACGCAACCCGGCGCACATCTGGAAGGAGATCTCCAGCTGCGAGAGCTCCTCGAAGCCGGCCTCGTTCAGGTCCTTTGCAGGAAAGCGAGACACTCCGAGAAACCGGGAAAGCCTGGCCGTGGCCTTGGGAAGCGAGCTCCTCAGGAAGAAGACGTTGTCGCCGTACTCGCATTCTGGGCGCGGCTGTGCCACCACGAACACTCGGGGCCGCAAAAACAGAAAACAGAAGCGATCCGAGCACCGAGCCCAGGAATCCATAGCCTTTGTCTTGGTGGTACTTGGCCACCCTTGGCGCAAAGTCTCTCCTTTTTTCCTCTCTGTAGCACAACCCGGCCCTGGCATGCCCTGGCTCTGGCCCTGGCCTTCCTCGCGTTCTTTGGCCCACACCTGCACCGGGCCGGGGCCGGGACCGGGGTTTTGGGTCTTTTCTAACCGAGGGCCTTCCAGGTTCCTATGGAGGAAGAGCAGCTTCCTGGCTGGGAAACGTAAGAGCTGACTGCAAGTCTCCGTCTGGGAGAACCTGGCACGCAGCTTCCCATCGGACTTCTTCTGGAGCTCAAACTCTATGACTTTGTGGATGACCTGGCACACCACAACTTCTGGTGCCTGGACCAAGCGAAGTGCGCTGTATTGATTTGGAGAGATTTGGGCCTTCTCCTTCTTGTCCTCCTCCCTGAGATCCGGCGGAAGGTCTGACCTGCTGCGAGGATCTGCCAAACATGCCGAAGCTTGTCTCACTGCGCCTTGCGAAGAAGACGTCGCCCCGTATTCCCTCGACTTTCAGGAAGCCGAAGCCCTTTGCACCGGAGCAGAGATTCCACAGCCGAATCGAAATCTTGGGCAGGCTTTTGCTCTGCGGCCTTGGCGGCATCGTAGCTGGTCACGATGCCGACAGCAACTCGTGGCTCGGGCTGCGAGGGGGCAGTCGGCAGTCATTGAAACAGGCACATCTCCAAACAAGTTGCACACACATAGCAACCCCGTCAGCAGCAGAAAGTTTGAGAGCATGCATTGCATCGTGGCGTTGTGCTGCGACATTCAAACTAATTAGAGCTGTCCTGGCTGTGCAGCGCCTCACTTCTAGAAATCCTCATAACACGCCGTCCTAGATCCAGCTTTCTGCTGTCACATTCGGCTGCTCAGCACTGCCGCCCTGTGCGACCAGGCGCGCTCTCGCTTGGAGACAGCTGTCAATCTAGGGGAACTTTTCTGCACATGAAAGCTGGTGCCGTGGAATTGTGCCGTGGAATTGTCATCACGCCTGCTCCAGTAAACATCACATAAACAAAAACTGTGGATGGAATATGCTCAGTGTCAATCAGGCAGGCTGTGTCGGCTGTCCAGCCCCATGCAAGCAGAACTAGAAAGATTTGTCATGGGGTATACTGTACGGTATACTTCATGCGCATCATGGACCCTCCGATGGGAGGACAGTAGTGTACTGCCTGGGAGAGGGCTCTGCAAGGAGCAGTGATCGCTGCCAAGCCAACACCTTTCCCAAAGGCTGCTCTCGCTGCGAAGCGCTTTCAAAGCTCTTCACGCCAGCAGCGCCACTTGCAGTGCTCGTCATGGTGCTTCTGGCCTTAGCTTCTGAGCAGGTGTGCAAGTCGCGAATCCATTTGAAAACAAGCCCCCTGCATGTGCTTGGCTGCCGACTCTGCTTGCAAATCTTGAGAACATTTTCCGTTGACTCAATAAGATGCGCATGGTTGACCTCTCACAATGCTGCGGCTCCAGGGGCGTGTGTCCAACCTCGCAGGGCCAAGGCCTTCTTCGCTTCCTGCACCCGGAATTCGAGGTGCTCACCTTTGCCGTCCCGGCATATTTCCCAGAGTTTTGCCAGCATATCATATCAAATCTGACAAGCGGCAAGTGTTACCCAAATGCCGCTTCATTTCCTTTGCACACTTCCTGACCAGGGCACCGGGTTCAGCGAGGGTGTCAGCAGCCTGCGTCCGCGCACGCTCCATATCTGGTGAGCCTCTTGCACGTCTGTCCTTTTGCAAGGAAGGACTTCTCTTCCTTCACTTCCTCAAAAACATTCCGGCCGTGCGTGAAAAGCTTGCCATCAGGCTCAGGCTCTGCACACTACGGCCTCTGGAACGACGCTCTTCACGGAATTCACCAGGTTTGCAATGGCCTCCTGCGCCTGCTCACTCCACTTTGCCCCCTACTCAGCAGCCTTCTAAGACGATCCCAAACTGCCAGACTGAATGCTACCACTCGGCACGAAAGGCTCGGATCAAATGGCAGGACCCGCGCAAAGTCTTTGCACTCCTGCGTCTCGTAGGACTTGTTGCTGTCTGGATCTAATGATCCGAAAGCTTCCTCCGGAATTGAAGGCTGCCAGACAACGGACAAGCTTTCTCATGGGCGGTGAAGCCTTGATGTCATCAAACATCGACAAGTCGAATGCCACATCCTCTGAGGCCCCAAGAAGCAGTGGCGCGGCGCAGCAAAAGACTCTTGACATCAGGATGCCCTTCGGTCCTGGTCGCCCGACGAGCTTGATGCGCCTTCCGCCTGCACGAGCACGAGCAGGAGGACGGCAGAGATGCGAAGTCCTCGAGACCGGGGAGCAAACACAGATCTGGCGATGTTGGATCTGGACGCCCCTCCCTCACACAACAGCCCGGTCCTTGAGAAGGCATTTCGAGGCCAGGGAAGTCTCGAATTGGGGATCAAGGTTGCTTGGAGGGGATTCAGGCACCTGGAGTTGAGGAGCCAAGGTGCACTGGCAGCAAGCGATCCACTCAGCACCCACTTCTCATTCCCCTCACATGCGGACAGAAACGTAGAACAGAAATGCCTGAATAGTCGAAGAGTCGGACAGTGCTGTTGCCAGCAGCAGCGGATGGTTTTTGTCAATGCAAGTGCAAAGTCGCTAGGGAAAACAAATATCGGCGATAATCACAGCAGCATCTGTCGGTGGGATTCTAGAGGAAGTACTTGCACTGCAACTCTGTCGACTTTGGCTTCTGACCCCACCGTTTTCAAAGGTAGCTGCGGCCTGATTCTCGCCTTCTGAGAAGTGCCGAAGAGACAACTGGGACTTCGCAGTGGCTGTAAGCTTGCGGCTGAGCAAGCTCACAAGGCCATGCGCAGAGCGTCGTCGAGTCCGGGGGCCGGAACCGAAAATGGGGTTTTGGTTCTCCGGATTTTAACAACCGCCTGAGGCCATCTTTGACATATAAACGTCACCGCATCGGCTGCCTCAGTATAGTGTATGCTTCAGCCATATATGCTCTCCTTGGATCAGCAAAATTGGGGACAGGACGCTTGAAGCTTGCGCATGCAGCTTCGAATGTGTTGCGGGCATGATATCAGCTCGAGATTCAACATCTTCGCCGCAGGAAGTGGAAGATCACGGGGAACGCCTGAGACGATGCCACTTTTGGCCGGCTGTGCTGCGCCGATGTTTGGGTCGATCTTGAATACGGTGCGAACTGTTCGTGCTTCAGCAAGCAGGGACTGGCAGAGGAGGTTGCAGCTACTGCAGATTAGGCACCAATCCGATCGCGCAAATACCTCGGGATTCTAATCGCATCACATGTAGCTGCTACATACATGTCAATCCAGAAGAGGCAACTTCAGAAAATTGAGAGTAGAAGAAATTTCTTTTGCGAGGTTGCGCCAAACAGGACGCCAAGCGTGGTCGCAGGTTTTCCGGAATGCCATACACCTCGAGTTTCCAGCAGCTGGAACAAACCATTTGGCAGGAAAGACTTGAAGGAAATAGTGAAAGGTTCACAGTAAGTCTGCAGGTGAAAAGCCCATCGAGACATCTGAGCCGCGCCTGCACTCGTTTCTGCATCTGTGACTGCAAATCCTCCACGGGCGCCTCGTCGAAGAGCATCTGCGAGAGGGCACAAAGGCGCACACTTCGGTTTCCGCAGCGCCGGAGCCCATGCGGACATCGAGGCAAGTAATCAACCATTGTACTGCTGTTGAAACTTCATGCATTGACTGAATTTGCGAACTTCTACTCACGCCGGCCTGCGCTACGCTGCAAAGGAGAGCGTCGAGTGGTTCCAGCAGCCCCTCAACGATGGCCGCCTGCCCAGACAACCCAAATCGCTGGAAGACGACGACAAGGAGGACGACCACGGCGGCGCCACGTCGAAAGCAACGGCGACGACGGCCACGGCAACGACCAGCGACGGCAATATAAATAACAGTAATAATAGTCTTCTTAATCAGAAGACTAACAACAATAATAATAATGAGAATAACAATAATCATCATCACCATGATAATAACAATAACACTCACAATAATGCGACTAATAAACATGATAATAGTGGAAAATAATGACGATTGCCCATGATGCGGTGATGCTGCTGCTGCTGCTGCTGCCGCCGCCGCCGCCGCCGCCGCAACCGCCGCTGCTGCTACTGCGGCTTCTGCTGTGGCCACCGACCCCCGTGCATAGTGGTGATTGCAGCAGCATCACCAACATCGTCATCAGCATCGTCATCCTCAAGAAGCTGAAACAGAAAAAGCACTTGTGGTCACAATATACAGAAAATCATGCTTGATAAGCCGGATGGGAACCACACTGGCTGCTGATGGGACGCCTTGGGATCTGCCAGTCTGGAGCGTGTCGGGGCCCGCGCGGCGAAGGCACCGGCCTCCAAGCCGGCAGTCAGCTGCAAAGAAGCAAACAAAACAGAATCTTTGAAGAAACTCTGAGGGCACCTCGCCACCCACAGCTCGGCAGCAGTACCGCGCCTTGGAAGGAGCGGCTGCTCCATCGTGCAGTAGAGGCATACGTTTGGCAGCAAAGTGGAAAGAGTAAGCAACGGAGAACTGACATGCTGACGAGACTCAACCTCATCGTGGTTTTGCACCAGCTTCCAAGCGGCCTTGCCAGGATGCCGTAGCAAGACACCACTTATTGACTATAAAGATAAGTGACAAAAACACAAAATGGAGAAAGACTTGGGGGGGATGGAGGCGGAGGGAGAGGGAGAGGGAGAGGGA